TCAACAACACAGACATGTTTATGTCGAAATGCCAAGTTGTGCACCTTATCAAATGCTTTTTTATTTAACCAGATCCTGCCCAGTTCACCTCTGCATCCATATTTTAGTTCGTCCAATTACAAGGTTAAGGTCAGAATACCTGCAGCCAATGATTCAACGGCCTCTGCAAAAATGTGCGGTTATCGCTATTTAGCTAGAATCGATGCTGGAAAAAAGTTGCGGTCGAGCACATCAGCCTAACATCGGGATAATGCCATTGTCACAATGAGCAAGTTAGCATTCTTTCATTAGCATCTAGGTCAAAGATTTTAATACCGTAGATAATCACCTGATAATGACTCCACAATACAAATACAATGCAACCTAACAACAATTTACTAATTTTGTTGTCCAGAAATAACCATTTAACCAACAGAGGAATACAAAGTTGCATTTAATCTGACCCCATTGCATCATGGCAGAAGCCTCTCGTAAGTTAGCTTTTGGGGTCTTACTGCAAACAACTGCCAGTTCTTATGCAACAAAAACAGAGCCACATCTCTCTCTTGCCATCAGTCAAATTAAGTCCAGTCATTCAGTCTTTTGCTCTGTTTTAACTCCAAGTTTGAAAAAAAGATGTGGGTCTCTTTGGCTCACTATGTGTTCCGCATTCTCCACAGGCCTCCCATTTAGTTCAGCCCTCCGCTTTCCTATGCACAGGTAATGTGCGGCGTGTTTAAGCTTCTGAGCTGGCAGCTGCCCTTGGCTTTTTATGCAGAGGGCTGGTGAGAGCTATTGGACCTCAACCAGACGGACCAGTGAACCAAAATAATGAGCTGAAAGTAGCTGAGGGCTCCATAGGGCGGCAGATCGGGTGCTACCCTCTGTAGTGTTGGCAATGCTCGTAATCCTATCACTTTATAGGGAGTCAGTCCATTCAGAGTTAATTTAAGCAACGCTGTGTAATGGGGATAGACATTTTTCATTTGAGTTTTTGAAAAGCCTCTAAGGACAAGTAGAGCTTGATTTATGTCTGCAGCAAACACCAATACAGTTTTACAAAAACACTACATTTTTATTTACAGGTTTGGCAGGCATGCATGTTATGTTGTTGAACTCATAGTCCAAGTCGCAAACTCGAGTCCCCATCTCTCATACTTACTGTTTTTTTTTTTTTTTCACAAGCAATTAAATACTTACATAGCCTACTGTTTTAGGAAATATTAATCTTACTTAGGGAGCTAATGGCTAAGTAGTTGGAGACTATGGTTAGGCAGGATAAATTATTTTCATTAGCACCAAATAAGTGTGCTAATGTGCTATGCTACAAATAAGCTTCTTTTTTTTCTTTTTTTTTTTTCAAAGTCTTGCATTTCTTTGTGCTGTGATACTGTCTGCTCTCTAAAGCAAAGCAAATTTGATTCAGTTTGTATTTGTGACTTATAGAGGAAATTCTGGGAGAGAAAAATTCAGCCTCTGGGACAATGTAGCGAAAGGATCTCCAACAAAGTCTCAGGACGAAAGCTTTGAAGAAATCATTAAATATAAAAGAAACCCCAGAAACTGGTCCAAGTGCTACTATGTACATTTTACTGAACCTAAAAACCCCAATGGCCCACAAGCAAATTTAAAGACTGTCCTGCCGATTTTTACGAGACAGTAAACAACTATGTAAAGTGAAGCAGACACACAGCACTTAAAGGAAAAAGAAAAATGCTACTTTAGGAACCACTTAAGGTGTTCTTTTACCTTTTTTAGATTGTTGTGCACATCGTATTTACAACAGCACAGCAGTTTCATGCCTGACTTGTGCTGAATCATCTCCTGAGGCATAACAGACAATTTAGTATTGATTAAGTCATTTCTCCTCTCAATGTCTGCCTCTCTAATATATGCTCTATCCAGTTACCAGCCCTCAAAAAGAAAGCAATACAATCATATTGTTACGATGATTACATCACGGGGACACACTCTATTATTCTTCTCTGCCACTATGTGAATTAAACCAACACTTTAATGGCTGTATTGGCATGCTTTAACCTGATGTTGTAGAGCTACTTGTAAACTCATTTTGAAATTTAACGCTTGAATGTTCTCACAGATGACGAGTGGTTTCATTAACGATGAAATACTTCATTTGATATGGAGCATAATTGCAATATGTTTACTGGCCTGTTTATGTTTTGTTTTATTGAGCGATTTGTCTTCTGCTCCTGGACTCAGTGCAGTGCTGTTGCTGTGATATTATTTTGCAGTATCACTTTCGAAAAATTGGCAGCTCCATGCAGTGAACCACAGAAACAATTCAGTGAAGAATGTAAATCTCCCTGCATCAACTTGTTTGGCTGATGCCAGTAAATGACATTTTGTAAGCTTCTTTATTGTCTCCTCTGTCTTTCTCTGCATTGCCTTGATTCTGGTACGTTTTTTAGGAAAATGTTTGAAAGGAATACACATTATGTGAACTATGTCAAGTATATATGCAATGAATATGCAACATGCAATCAATCTGGCCTCTGAGCAAGGTAATGTACTTTGCACAATAAATTCTAGCTTATGCAGTAAAAATTATCTCGAAGAGGAAGTTCAGCCATTTTTTTTAAATGAATTGTATGATAGCTTTGTAAAATGTTTTCTTTACATTTCAATTGTATCGATGGAGAAAAAAAATTCTGTTGACTGTGGCCAATGTACATGCATTGTCTCTGTGCACTCATTTGCATAGGCTTTAGATAGTGAGCTAGTTGCCTTAAAATGTCAGAGAAAGGTATTTGTGTACAGTTAGCTTTGACAATAATATTCTGACCTCTTCCTTTATGTGTTTTGGGTAGAAGCTTTAACATATCTGCTTCTCTTGCTAGCTCTTACAGTTTAAAAAAATAAATTTCAAAGTTGCCTACCACAGCTTTAAAACACACAGTACAGCTGTCTTTGACGGGATCCCTTACATCAAATGACAAGTAGTTTTGTCCTCATCAGCTGCTCTAAAGATTTCAATCCAATGTGCAAAATCACATTGTGTTAAAAGGGGTTTCACCAATATTGTATTGCACTTTATTGGTATTCAGTAAAACTGTTGATTAATTACTTTTTTTCAGTACCTTCTGTTAACTTGCTAACATCTGGCACCTGTATTGAACCAGGGGTTCCCAAACTTTTTGGCCCACAACCCCTGAAATTACAGCACTGACCCGGGGACCCCCACAGTCCCTGAAGGTGGTTAAAGCATTAAACGATGAACCCACCCTGCACACGAACTAATAGTCCTATCCTAATCTCCATGTATAGTTGGTAGCACTGAGTAAATACATAAATGTTTAAACAGACACACAGGTGTAAGGTGATTTATTTGTAAAGAGCAACAAACACTTACATTGTCGCAGTCATGCGCAAACTTAGATTTTAAATATGTTTTACTTATTACTTTAATTTCAGTGTAAATCTCACTTAATGACTTAGACTTATTTCCAGTTGAACTACTTTTTCGTGTATATTTTCATAATAACGGGTAAAATATGCAATTTCAAATCATTATTGGTCACGGGCACAGGAGTGTTATGCTAGTAGCGGCTAATGTAGCCTCAAGCAGCTAGGCTGACTCGAGATAAAGAGCCAGCTTTAGAGGTCCAATATGCACCCTTACATCTAACTCCACACATAGATTTTGTATAGATCTTGTATCCTTCAGCCCCGATCCAATTCCGACTCCAGTGACATCACATGTGGCAATGTAGCTGGAGATTATACTGATGTCCTAAGGAGCTCTGTTCCACAGCTCAATATCCTCTTCCAGTTATATGGCACATTAAGCAGACCCTCCAGAGGCGTTTATGTTTTCTGCAATGATTTATTCCTGTAAGTTAAATGTGTTTGTGTGTGGGACAATATGTTGAAATTAAAGGCATCAATCTTGTAACATACTGAGACTGATTCCTCAAAACCTACAGTATGTCCTCAAATGTGCAGGGAGACAGTTATCGTGAGTTTAGACATTGGTATCTCGGCGGTTGTCGAACAGCTCCATACCATTCAAGCTAAGTAACAAATGTCAATCTCCCTTTGCTCTAATGAGATTTAAAATGTTAATGATAGCATTACCTGGTAGGGATTAGCCTTTATCAGACACCATTCATCCATTCCAGAGCAACAAAGGCTGTAGAAGACATTTTCACATATTCAGTTAGACCTGTATACTGAGCAATAAGTACAATTGATGGCTTTACAAAAGAACTGCCTAACACTTATTTTGAACGATTTTGTTCTATACATCAATTGTTACCAATTCTTGTGAAAAAGAAACCATGGGGGGAAAAAAAGTAATATCATTCCTGCATGTGGTTACAAGGCAGAGTCACGGCTGCTTTTGACCCACATGTCTCCCTCTGGTACCATTACCGTAAGAATTTTATTTTCCTTTGGTATTCTCTCTTGTAAGAGGCATTTTAATTAAAGTATCTGAGCGTTACCTCCTCAAAAGGCTATATCACCATCCTCCGCTTCAAGCTCAAACAAAAATGTTTACACGTTTTTTTGCCCGTAGCTTTTTCTGCAAAATATTCCAAATCCCATGTTCCCCTCACGTTGATAATTTATGAATGCTTCAGCAAAAACCAACCACGAGGCTTTGTTCCATGTTGCTGTATTTTGTCTCTTGTGTTTCTGTTCCCCCCGTACCCATGAGTGTGTTCATGGCTTTATGCATGACGTGCACATGAACATTTGGATTGTGGCTCACGCTTCATTGCTGCCTTTCCTCATGTCATTGTTTTACACAGGGACCTTTTATGAAGTTCAGATTGTTCGGGGATTTGGAGACCATCAGCACAATTGGCAAACGCGTAATGAATGTTTTTCTATTTTCTCCTCTTGTGTGGCCAGTTTGCAGTTGTAAAGAAGGTTAAGATGCACTGAGGCTCGTAGGTCTTTGCAAATATTGTAGCAGAAACAAGCAGAACATTTACAAAGGGATATCCCCCAAAAAAAGCACAGCCCTGGACCAATGAAGGATTTACAGACGGATAAACAGTTTGTAAATTCTGATTTATTTTTTTTGCATTTTCCCAAACTTATATTGCACATTATTCATACAGCAAAGATAGGTTAGGGGACATTTGAAGGAGAAATGTAGCATGAACGGAAACTCACTGTGGATTCATCTTTATATTGCAAATAGAATAAAAGGTCAGAGCTAAAATGATATTAAGAAATCTGCAGCTGTGGGTTGCCATCAATTTGAAGCAGGCATGTTCACAACAAAAGCATTAGCTTTCAAAGTGAAATAAATAATTCCTTATGAATGATTCTAGCTTAAGGTCACAGAGATCAGGCGGATAATTCAAGTGTAAAAACTGGCTTATAAGCTTTGACAAAGTGCAGGAGAGTGAAACTCGACACGGCCATTCAGAGTAATCTCATTCTATGGGTAATAAGGGAATAATAGGAGTCCTCTGCAGGGGCATCTGCTGGTCACTTGTAACACAGGCTTAGACAGCATACAGGTATTGTTAAAAAAAAAAGTGTCTATACACGCTGGATTTTCCTGGGCAGCCATTTGAACAGAGTCTTGTACAGCTTTTTGCTTTTCACCTTTGACTTTTTATATCTCTTCAGGATGAGATTTCTGAGCAGGCCAAAGTTCAAGGGCTGGGTCAGGTGCACTGAGAAAGAATGATTTCCTTTCACTGAATGATTCAGGACCTCCAAGAAGCGTCTCTCCTGCTGCCTGAAGTCATACTCCACACTGAGCAGAAGGAAAGGGACAAAATGACTTAAAACCACCAAAAAACACACACGTCCAATAGGATAAAATGTTTGAAATGCAGCTCCTGCTAAATGACTTGCTTTTAGAATTACATTTTTAGCTACAATTCACTTGATAGTGTTGTTTTCCTTCATGTGGGAAGCTTTTTCCTTGTCAGATTTCAAAGTGGTTAATTGGTTTCGACAGGCAGGCATTCTGGGTTCCTTTTTTTCTTTTTTTTTTTCTCAAGGTGCGCACATCTTGTCTGAATGTCTTTATCTCCCACTTGGCCTTTAAGGACCAGATGCCAACACACAGCAGTCAGCAATCAACTTATGTAACATCTTTTTGTCATGCAAAAGCCGTCTAGAAAATAAACGGATCAAGACACATGCTTTGAATATTTCAAGATAAAGACCTTTTTCAGGTTTTTGCTTTGTAGAGCACAAGGCTTTTTTCCCCTTCAAAAAGACGATGAAAAGATTTCGATTTCTTACTCCTCCCTTGCACCCACAGAATTTCTGGGAAAATTGTTTTTTAATCTTTATTTTTTCTGTTGCCTCCACCTGATGCAACATTTCAGCTAATGGGTGCAAACCAAGAGAGAAACACATGGCTAAGCACTTTTGAATAATGAGTCTTTGAAAATTGTCAGGGACTGTAAAAACACTCTTCATTCCATTGGACAAACAAGTCAGGATGCCTCATTTTAAAATAAAGCTGAATTCCCGAACCTCCTAAAGCAGATCTCTATCTGTTAAACTAAACAGATAAAACATATATATTTCCTTTTTAAATCTTTTAGCCTGCATATAAACAATGCCAACAATGACTTCAGCAAGGTGACCGTGATAAATCCATCCTGCAGCCTGCTTGGGCATGTTTTTCTTCCTCTTTGGCAGCTTTAATTTAAGAAAGTCTCAATCTCAATCTGCATAAATCTGCTGTGTGAACAGATTGAGTCACAATCAGTCGGTGCTTAAATTTGACAGTTGCTCCAAAAAGATTGATGGTTTTCGCTGTGAGAGGAAAATGTAATCTCTGTATGTATTCTGAGCGGGAAACAAATGAGGAGTAAGGAGCTTTTCATTTGGTAAGCTGCCCGTTACAGTAAGTCATTCCTTTTCTGTGAAGTGAAGGGAGCCGGCTGGCGGGGAACTGCCCGGCAACTGCGATTGCCAAATGGGTTTAATCTTGATGAATAGTGTCTCATGAACAAAGGAAACTTTGTGAAAAAAAAAGTATTTAAAAATTTTGTCCTTGAATAAAGTAATCCATTGTGGTTTTGCTGTGTCAAAAATATTTAGAAAAGTCATTTTGAGAGCAGCTCATGATATGTCTACAAAACAGTCTTGTTTTTAAATACTGAATCTCTTAAATGTTTAGAGCCCACAAAAGTGTATCTTAAAAATGTCCTGTCCCAACCAGGAGGACAGCACACAACTAACAAAAAGCATTCTCATTCTGTCAATACATGAATTTATGCAACAATAGTTTTGTCATTTAGGCAAGAACCGACTCCCCAGGCTGCTTTCGATCACTTATCACTCTTCATATTGCATGCAGGCAAAACTGTTAGTTGCACTATTATCTCACCTGTACACAATGCAAGCAGTCTTCTGGCAGGTTGAGCAGTTTTTGAGGTCCTGCCCAGTATTGTGGCATCGCCTCCTGGGATAAAAATAGAGGTAAATGAAATAGCAGACAGTAAATAAGTGCATCATTTTCTCTCCACTCATCCTCTCAGTCTATTAACTCAAAGTGCTGCTGGCAGCGATTAGATGTTTAACATGCATTTTAACGTCAGACATCAGTCAGTTATAAGGAGTTGGTTATTCTGAAACATGACCTCAGAGGCAGTCAAGACTTATTAGCACACAGGAGTCAATGAGAATGATTGACAGAGACACGTTGCCAGAAGGCGGTGTTAATTATTTGTATTTGTCCCAGAAGAGTTATAGGGCTAAATAAACCTCTCCAAGACGTGCCCATGTGAAACGCAGGTTTTTGACACACTCACAGCGCGTTCGCAGACCAGTCTGCAAATTAGGAACAATGAAACAGTGGATTCACATCATCACACTGAGACATGATTGTGCCAGTCTTACAACATCTTCACATTCTGTTTGCCTTCAAAAGCTATTTGGGCATCTTGTCACATATATTAGGTCTGAGTTTGTAACTCTTTTAAAGACTTATTATTACCAATGTGGATACTTCCAAAAATCAGAAGAAAGACAATAACTGACCATATTGATATTGCACATCAATGAAATATCAACATATCTTCTTAATAATTACACATGAAAAAAATGCAAACGCAAATTACATTTTGGGGCAGACAAGTAGTGCAAAGATAAAATTTTTTTTTTAATGCATCACACAGGATCCCCAAATGTCCGTCAAACTTGCACTGTCAACATTTTTTACCTGGTTATTACTGACCTAATTGGGGGTTAAAACAAAATATGAATGGTAAATCAACTTGAGCTTGTATAGCGCTTTTCTAGTCTTCTGACCACTCAGCTCTTTTACACCACAGGTCACACCTACCCATTTACAACCATTCACACACTGATGGCACTATGTAAAGAGACCATCAGAAGTAACTAATCCCATTCATACACATCCATACACCGCTGACGAAGCAGCTGGTGCAAATAGAGGTAAAGAGTCTTGCCCAAGGACACGTTGGACATGTAGCGATGCTGGGGATCGAACGCCCAACCTTCCGGTTAGTAGGTTACCAACTCTATATCTCGTGAGCCACAGCCGCCCCATTTATCTGTGTTGCATCCGTTGATGAAAAACATGTCTACCCCATACAGTTGATCTTCAATTGCAAACTTTCAGTCATTATAAGCACGTTTGCCTGTAAGCTATTGATGTCACAGTAATCGATAATTGGATAAGAAATGTACACACAAATACTGATTAAACATCAAAAAGTTTGACAGATAGCGAAACAACGTAGTGTACAAGTGAATTACAAAGCAATTTAATCGTTTCAGGAAATCCAAGTGTTTCCCACTGGGAAGACAAATATCAGCAATGCAGAACCGTTGTTTAAGTAATCCTCTATACCAGATTTTGGCAAAAAGCTACACCTGTATTGGCCTTAAAGTAGAAAATATTAATAATATATACATCATATCCAACCCTGCAGGTTCTGTATTGCAGCTAAACTATAACCTAAATGTTTAATGAGCACTGAGGAATCTTTTATTGCATTTCTAGAGGTTAAAAAAAAAGTATAAAAACCTTGGTCTTGTTACTGTGAGTTTCACTTACACCACACTAATATTCAGACACACACACACACACACACAGACTACCTCTTACCCGCTGGTGGGAGTGTAGCATGTCTCCAGGTCATGGATAATGTTAAGCAGAGTGGTTATCCTGTCCTTGTTGGCTGCCAGGCTGGCCTCCACTGTCTCCAGTCTTTGCTGAAGGGCTGCTGATTTGCAGCACTGCGGGGAGGGAGGCAGCAAAAGGGCTGCTTCAGCTGGGTGGGAGTGAGCCAGGTGGGGATCCTCCGGGCATAGCCGAGGGGCAGCGGGGCTAAACCTCGAACCCTGTCTGATGATTGCTTCTGCCTTGCAGGTCTGGAGGAAAGGGGGGATGCCTTTTGCATTGTCGAAGATGTCAATACAGGCTCACATTCAGGGCCTGGGCGGGAACAAAGCTCTCCCTTGCTGTTAACAGGGGCTGTTGCAGTAAAAGAAAACTCTGGATGTGTGTGTGCTGGTGGTAGTGATGAAGTATCTGAACTCGAGGTTTGGTGGACTGAAGATTCGATTACAGGGTGGGCATGTTCACTTGCTAGTGCAAGTTTTATTTGCATTGTGACAGAGGGTGTTGACTTATTTGGATGTGTCTGTTTTTCTGCATTGGATTTATGTTTAATGTGTGCATGCCTGACTGATACTCCCAAGGCAAACTTTTCTGCATTTAAATCTGTGTCCTGGGCTTTTTCCGCTGGTGGGCATGCACCAAAGTGTCCCTCATGTTCTGTGCCTGTGCATCCTTGATAATGTGGGAGTCTTTGTTGGTCTGTGTTTATGCAACCCTGCAGACAAGAGCTGCTTGACTTCATTAGGGAAATGTTGTTCAAAAGGCTAGTGACTTGTGATAGATTAGAATTTTCACGGTCTTTTGACTCACACGCTGCTAATTCATTGATTAGATTACCATTGAATTTGTTTTTGTCATTGTACGACTGCGTGTTTGGTATAATGGTTGATTTAGGGTTTCTTGCATCAACGCCTCTTTTTGACTTTTTGACACATTTAGCGGCTCAGAAAATGCAACTGGAGTTGTTTTCGAGTTGTTTTCCTGATTGGAAACTACGCCTGATAAAGCACAATCATTATAAGTTTGAGTCTTTGTGTCTTTTGCTTGTTGATTTGTGTGTGTATCTTCATTTCGACCAAGTTCTTTGCCATGTTTTGTCGCATCTGCTGATTGAGACTTTGTACCTGAAAAACAGACAGTACTTTGGTTTTCTGCCATTGTAGATGAACAGATGGCAGCGGTGGGAGGTGAACTTTTCAGATTGATTGAGGACTTCCTGAGGGTTTTATTTTTGTAAAGAGGGCTGTTACATGTGGATGTGGAAGTGGAAGTGGCAGCAGCTCTTGATGGCAACCTAACTCTTGAGTCTCTGGCTTTTGTTGCTTTTGGAGATGCTGTAGAAACATGAAGTGCAGGTTCAGACTTTGAGGAGGTAGGTCTAATTAGATGAATTTCAACTGAGACCGTTTTATGTTTAGTGCTTGTGTGCATAATTTGGTCTGATTTTGAGTTTTGATTCAAAGTGTGCTGTGTTACAACAGTGCTGAGAGATGGATGTGGCTTTGTGTGTGGTGCACTTGTCAAGATGTCGGTAAAAGACGATTTACCTGATGATTTGTTGACGACGTTTGGGGATGACTTAGCTTGTGGTTTATGACCTGGATCAGATGAAGTACGAGGTGGCCTTGCAGGTAAAGATCGTGCAGAAGCTTCTGGTTTATGAAAGGGGTCTGATGCACTCATTGTCCTTGATAAGGTTGGACATTTGAGGGTCATTCTTGGGCTATCAGTTGTATGCGCGTCTATATTCACTCTAACTGTGTGGATTGAGGGCGGGGTTTTATGAGTAGCAACTTTAGCAGGTACACTTTCAGTAGACATCAGTGCAGAATTAAAGATGGGAGTTGTTTGGTGAGTGTTGGTTTTGGAGGTTTTTGTGTGTAATCCAGCTGTGGTGTATGAACAAGAAGGTGTGGTTAATGGAGCAGCATGTACAGACACACTCACGTTTTTTGGCTCATTTAGTAGCGTTGAGTTCTGCTCTGATATTTTGATTGGCCTAGGATAAGTTTGTGCTAGGGGGTTATTTGATTTTGTAGCTGTGGCCATCTGTGGAGTCAATATGAGACTCGTCGGTCGTTGGGTTTTACATTCTTGTGATGTTGTGTCCAGGGAAGGTTTTGTTCTGTAATCGTCTTTTCTGGTTTCAATGGTCGCTTTAGTGACAGTGATGGTGTTGGCATGCAGGATAGTGGTGGGTTGGGTGGATGTTGAGTCGCTGGCAGAATCAATCTGTGACAGAGTGACTACATGGGCTTTAGAGTGCACTGGGCAAGCTGGATGGGGTGCTTTGCGGTTCTGTAGTTCTTCACTAAGATATAGCAGATGCGGATTGACTGAATTGTTTGTTCTATTGTCTCTGGATGTGGTGCTCTCTGGGATTTCATTATGACTTGGCATTTTCTTGCTCCCAATATGGGGTAGGGTGAGGGTTGACTTAATTGGTTTCTCTCCAAGGCAAGCATCGGCCATAGGGCTGTTCTCCCTCAAAGTGGTTAAATACTGTTTCCCGCCACAATGGCTGCATATTTTCTTTTGCATACCGAAAGGTCTTACAGCAGATAACAGCAGCGTCTTCCCAACCTGCTCTGCATAATGACCTTCCAGTCTGGTTTGGGCTCTTCCTCGAGACGTCGAACCATTCCCAGGCTCGGCTTCATCGTTATGAACGCTAATTCCACCAATTGCTTCCGAATCCACCACGCTCCCGTTGGTGTATCGGGATGCAGTTTTCAATTTAGGCTTTGCATTAGTGGCATTCCCTGCAAACTTTGGGTTGGTCTTGATTGCTCTGGCAAAGCAATAAGTCCCACTTCTGTTCCTGTGAGTGCAGGTCACATCCTTAGAGGCCTCACCTCCTAGTGCTTTGAAAGTCACTTCCTTTTTTGTCTTTGAGTCCCCACTTTTCTGTTTTAAAATAGCCCTTTTCTCCTTGTCACTCCTTGTAAGCAGTAATATCTCCCTATACTCCGTTTCGGTGGTAATATAGCTGTTGGATGTTTGGATAATGCTATCTGATGGAGTTAGGAGTGTATCAGTTAGTTGCTGTACCGTGGGTGGTCTGCTAATCCCCGGGGACGTCTGAACACCAACGCTGCACTGAGGTCCCCACGTCTGCAGCAGCAGGGCTTCTCCGCTTCTGTCTCCTCCTGTTGTCCTCCAACCACGCACTCCAACCAGTGCAGGGACACCTAAAACTGGAACTGGAGTTGTCAGGTCGGCAGCTCTTCTGCCCATCCCCTTGTCTGTGCGACTCAAAAGTCTGAGAATTGAAGAAAGCGGCAGTGTTTCCACACCATTACATCCATCTAAAAGTAAGAGAGGAACAAGTTTACAACGAGACAGTGCCATGGAAGAAAGCCATGAGTAAGCAGGACAAGTTGAAACAAAACAAAGCTAGAACTGAGACAAGGGCCCGCTTCAATGCCGCAGTAATGAGATATAACGAGAGTGTCAAAAAAAGTTTTGCACATTAGGTGATAAGACAGAACTAATTATGCTTTGAATTTTAAACATTTCTGATGTGGTGTGACTGGGTATGAAATAGAATCTGCTCATGCAGACAATAAAGGGAAAAGTGACCCCATATTACATTAGCATTTCAAACATACCGCATATAGATCCCCTCTCAATGTGTGACAGCACAAAGAATAATAGATTTGTGGATACATTTCTAAACAATAGCTCCTGTGATGAACACTCTCTGCTGTTTCTCTCGTTGAAATGTTTGTCATAGCATGCAGCTTTCACTCTGTAGTGCTCTACATTCAGCTCACCTTGGAAAGAAGCCATAATGTCGACTCTGATGATACAGTATAGACTTCATTAAGCACTGCGAGCATTTGACTGGAACACACTTTCACCGGGGTGGCACTTTGTGTGTGTGTATGTGTGTGTGTGTGTGTGTGTGTGTGTGTGTGTGTGTGTGTGTGTGTGTGTGTGTGTGTGTGTGTGTGTGTGTGTCCATGACACCCATGAATTCACTTGAGCCAGCTTACTTCTGTGTGCAGGAGGTCATTTTAATGATTTGTGCAAAACAACAGGGCACTAATGTGTGCATTTCTGCAAATAAGCATGCACCACACTTAAAATGAGTTTGATTGAGTGTGCTTGCAAACCTTCATTTATGACAACATTTCCATGCAAACACATCCTGACAGGGCTCCCTTAAATCCCTCCAATCCTTCCCAACAGCCTCCATCAAGGAATGTCAAAATTGAAAAAAAAAAAAAAAAAAAAAGGACATTTAGTCATCCAGTATTTTGACGGTTGTGTCATCGGATATTACTTGAGCTCAGTCAGGTGACCTATGCTTGTTGTCATCATCTAACATTAAGTGACAACTGCCTTGCTCTGTTAAGATGCCATTTAATCCTCCTTTGGGAGAGGAGATACGATATTGGTATATCACACACTTTTCAAATTACTAGGAATAAAAAGAAAGAGCAGTTTAACATAATTAATACTTGATGTGGTGTTGTGAATCTGTTTAGCATGCTTACCTGTTTGGGTTCCTGCTGCAAGTCCAAAATGTCAAGAGCTAGTTTCCGGCTTTCTCTCAGGTCCTCAAGGTTTGGAGGGACTTTGTCTTCATATTTCAAGTCCCTTCGTGGTGGAATTTAAACTCAAAAGGAGCCTGCAGGCATTCAGTTGTTCAGAGCTGAGCTGCTTTAATGAGCCCTCTTCTCCACCGCTCAGAATCTGAACTGATCTACCTTTTATTGATCAGGCATAAAAGCAAGCTGTGTCCTCCTTGTTCTCTTCTCCTCTTGTTTTGGTTCTGCTGCTCCATGCTCACTCCATGCTCACAACACAGCAGTATGCTGCTACACTATGCTGCCCTCCAATACACTCTGTCCTACTATGGCTTGCCTTTTTACCCCCTCCTCCTCTCTCTCTCTCTCTTTCTCTCTCTTTCTCCCTCCCTCTCTTGCCTTACTTCCTCTTTCTCCCTCTCTCTTATTTTCAGCCACTATCCTCGCTCCTAGCTTTCATGTATCCTGATCTACAGCTGGGTGGAGAAAGGAAAAGAGCAGGGGAGAGATAGAGAGAGGGAGGAAGTGACTTGCATCAGGGTAGGGACTGTGTGTAAATTACCGTGCAAGTTAAAAAGAAGTAAAATACATTTTCAGAACATTTAAAACTAATACAAACATAATCAAAGCTATGGTGGTCTGAAAAGTGAATAGCGAAAATGATTATATCACAATTACATGCTTATAGACAGAGAGAGTGAGAGAGAGAAAAAATATTTCTAAAAAAATGTTGATATAATTTATTTTCCGCCATACTGCAATTTGAAGAAATACAGAAAATCAAACCAGTTCAAATGTAAAAAAAAAAAAAAAAAAAAAACGTGCTGACATTTTTCAATATGTAGCTTAGTCTACAAAGCTTAGTCGGGACTTGGGTTGGTAACCCCAGGGTCACTGTTGCCTTGAACAAGGCACTGAACCCCTCCACCAGCTCAGCAGCGCTCGCTGTGGGCAGCCCCCCTCACTCTGACACCTCTCCATTAGTGCATGTCCATAGGATCCTGTTTGTGCATGTGTGTGTATTTCAGCCTATGTGTGTGTGTATGTAGCATGTTCAACAACAGAGTGTAAAACTGAATTTCCCCTCGCAGGATTGATAAAATGTATCTTCTACTTCTATGTTCCATAACGCATACGATCCTACGCAGTAATTAAAGTAATGTACACAACATGCTGGGTGAAAGTTATTTGTTTTGGAAAGAAAATATTATTCTTTTTTTATAGCAATAATTAGAGACCTTTGCACTGGGGAATGCAACACTAACAATAAGTAACAGAAACAACATTGCCATTTATAGTGCAGCCCTAACGGAAACCAAATCAACGAAAGTTTAATGTTGGTGACACTAAATTACTTTCCATTTTTGCAACAGAAAACCTTGGGTTCAGTGTTTCTAAACACCATGATGTGAGTCTGTCATTATGTTAGGTTATGTCTGGTAAACAAAATGACCACAAAGGCCCCGGAAGCAGAAAATGGCTGGGGGAGGAAGTTTTATACATGATCCTGTTTATATTGATCTAAAAAAAATTAAATTAGCTGCACTTAAAGTTAAGAGTCAGTTTTATGCAGCCAAGCGTCAACCTCTGGTGTTGGAAAATTATGCCAATGCGGAAGTGAAACAAACTGCAGTTCCTTCAGTGTCCACTTGAGGCTGGCTCCAAAAGACCCAGAAGTCCCATACACTCCCTGTATGAAAATGTCTGTTTTGACAGGAAAAATCTACATTTTTACAGCAAGCAGACAGGATCAGCAAAGAAATTAGGCGGAACTGCTTTGTTCACTGTTCTCAAATTCTACAGCTGATGAAAGTTAATCAGCTGTATTAATTTGTATTGATTTGATTTGATATGAAGCTTCTAAAGAACACTATAGGAAAGAACATCATCATAAGCTAAATACATACCTATGCAGGAGTCATTCCTATAACAGTAAAGATGGTTAAACAATAATGCAACAAATTATCAGTTGGCCTTAAAATAAAATCTGATCTTTAAATAAAAAAATGCATTTAATAAGGCAAACATTTTTTGCATTAGAATAATAATTACTGTACCCAAACATCTTAATCAAAAATTAATAAGCATTTTATGCAGAGTTTTTTTTTTACCCATATTGTTCTTCCATCCATGATAAAGGGTCTGAAGTGCATTGCCAATTTAATTTATCTATTATGTGACTTAAGGCAAATATATTAATAGGACTTGTCATTTACTCTGCGCGCTCGATTTAGAATGATCAGCAGAAAGCAGCCCTGGAGCCGTATAAAACCGTCCCTCAGTGTTGAGCTCTGTCACATTGAATCTTCGTTCCGCACTTCAACAGAAAACAAATAGTGCAGCGTATTTCAGAACTTGTGTGATCAGGACTCATTAAGACAAAGTCAGTGAAAGTCATTTCAAAGTTGATGATGAAAAACTCCCTTATTTATTTATTTATTCGCTTTGAAATCCCCCACAAAGCCACTGGATGACAGCTACACAGAACAGTTTGTGGGCTTCACTGAACCCACACCCAGGATGAATCAACACAGTTGTTTGGGTTTAATGAGAGTAACCTCTCCGCCTCAGATTAAAGGGACTGGAGAAGCACTTTTAAAAAGTCTGTTTGAAATAGAAATGTGGCTGTTAAAGACACAATCCAAAAGAAAAAAAGAGAAGGACATAAGATTCCCTTTAAAGAGCCATTTTAAGTCAACTGAATACTGGATGCTAAATAACAGCAGGATGTACATTAATACTTGATAATGGGACACACACTGTGTGCAGACCTTCATTGGGCTGAACGATTAAACGAGATCTCATTGTTATTTCCGTTTTTGGACCGCAGGAACTTGTTCATAGTTCTATGAACCGTTGGAACCCTCACCTTCTTTTTATTCATTGAACATCACAGGAACAATGAACTATTTCAGTTCCTATAGAACCCCATTTTTAGCCCCTGCTTCAGAGTAGGTATGGCGGTGCAGATGCAGTCAGAAAAAAAGTTCCCATGTTGTGTAGTTCTCTGGGAACTCCCTAGTGGATAGTTCCTCTTCAAAAAGGCCCAGAGCAGTTTGGATCGTAAACACCTTATGAATGATTTTTTTTCAGGTTTTAGTCAGACCTCAAGTGTTACCAAATAAATTGAGTTTTTGTAAAACCTTAGATTTTGTTTCAAAATGCATGAAAAAAAAATCATCTTATTTTTTTTTTTTTTTAGCTAAGCAGGAAATTCCCTTTGAGGAGCACATCATCAGATATTCAGGGAAGTCAGACGGTTATGTCCTCCAAGTCGTTCCTCATCAGTCAATGATATAATGTATGTTCTTTGATATTGACACATTAACAGCTTTTGTAGCTTCTTTTAAGGTTTATAACACTTCCAATTATCTGCACAACTTTTCAGCCAACTTGTTATGCAAACTCCTCTTGTCTTAGGCTTTATACCCATGTTCCTATTTTAATAAAACTACTACTCCAGACAACTAATCACTGTGGTTCTAGCTCACATTTAAGCGAGCTATGTTACTTTGCTAGAATACTGAAACTATAGGATTTCAAAGACAACTTTCTACTCTACTGCACACACCATGGAAGCTTCCTTTATGTTCCTGCGGTTCACCAAAATAGACAATGTAAGTGTTTATAGCGTATATTACATTTGAGGATATTTACAAATAGCAGATGGTTTGCAGGATGTGACAGCAGTTTCACTGATTAATAATAGTAACTGTGAATGTGTTGAAATGGGTGCAGGATGCCTGTGTGTGCTGAGTGCATTAGATTG